ATAATGTCCCCCGGACTCCCCTCCCACTCCCCCCAATAATGTCCCCAGACTCCCCTCCCATCCCCCCAATAATGTCCCCCGGACTCCCCCCTCCCATCCCCCCGATAATGTCCCCAGACTCCCCTCCCCACCCACCCCCCGATAATGTCCCCGGACTCCCCTCCCATCCCCCCGATAATGTCCCCAGACTCCCCTCCCACCCCCCGATGATGTCCCCGGACTCCCCTCCCATCCCCCCCCCCGATAATGTCCCCAGGACTCCCCTCCCATCCCCCCGATAATGTCCCCCGGACTCCCCTCCCACCCCCCCGATAATGTCCCCCGGACTCCCCTCCCATCCCCCCAATAATGTCCCCAGACTCCCCTCCCATCCCCCCAATAATGTCCCCAAACTCCCCTCCCATCCCCCCAATAATGTCTCCAGACTCCCTCCCATCCCCCCAATAATGTCCCCAGACTCCTGACTCCCCTCCCATCCCCCCAATAATGTCCCCAGACTCCCCTCCCATCCCCCCAATAATGTCCCCGGACTCCCCTCCCATCCCCCCAATAATGTCCCCAAACTCCCCTCCCATCCCCCCAATAATGTCTCCAGACTCCCCTCCCATCCCCGATAATGTCTCCAGACTCCCCCCCCAACCCCCCAATAATGTCCCGAGACTCCCCTCCCACCAGGGGCGGAGTGACCATATGGAAACTCGGGCACTGCCCGAGGGCCCAGGGTCAGTAGGGGGCCCCATGAGATGCCCCTGGTACCTTTTTCATAGGCTTTTTTGAGTTTGGGCAAGGACACAGGGGCCCCATGATCCCCTATTGCCCGGGGGCCCCATGAGATGTCAGTCCGCCCCTGCCTCCCACCCCCCAATAATGTCCCCAGACTCCCCTCCCATCCCCCGGATAATGTTCCCCGGACTCCCCTCCCATCCCCCGGATAATGTCCCCAGACTCCCCTCCCATCCCCCGATATAGTCCCCGGGCTCCCCTCCCACCCCCCCGATATAGTCCCCGGACTCCCCTCCCCACCCCCCCGATAATGTCCCCGGACTCCCCTCCCACTTTCCCCCGATAATGTCCCCCGGACTCCCCTCCCATCCCCCGATATAGTCCCCGGACTCCCCTCCCACCCCCCCGATAATTTCCCCGGACTCCCCTCCCACCCCCCCGATAATGTCCCCGGACTCCCCTCCCCACTCCCCCCAATAATGTCCCCGGACTCCCCTCCCACTCCCCCGATAATGTCCCCGGACTCCCCTCCCATCCCCCCGATAATGTCCCCGGACTCCCCTCCCACCCCCCCGATAATGTCCCCGGACTCCCCTCCCACTCCCCCCGATAATGTCCCCGGACTCCCCTCCCATCCCCCCGATAATGTCCCCGGACTCCCCTCCCACTCCCCCCAATAATGTCCCCGGACTCCCCTCCCACTCCCCCCAATAATGTCCCCGGACTCCCCTCCCATCCCCCCGATAATGTCCCCGGACTCCCCTCCCATCCCCCCCCGATAATGTCCCCGGACTCCCCTCCCATCCCCCCGATAATGTCCCCGGACTCCCCTCCCATCCCCCCGATAATGTTCCCAGATTCCCATCCCCCCGACAATGTCCCCGGACTCCCCCCTTTATATTATCCCCCTCCCCCGATAATGTCCCCAGACTCCCCTCCCATCCCCCGATAATGTCTCCGGAATCCCCCCTTCATATTATATCCCCCCCCCCCCGTATGGCTCCATTCGCTGGAAGTTGTGATTTTTGGTCATAAAATCGATCAGAATCGGCCGCATTGCTGGACAAACACAACCTCCTAACAGTGTCAAGGAATTAAAATCATTCATTTCATGCTGGTGACAGGATCCGACAGTCCAGGCTGTGCGCCGCGGGGCCCGCTCACACCAGGGGCCCAGTAATCACCTTCACAGGAAATGCCATGTTCTTGGTGCATGTTCCCCCCCCAGTTGTGTGCCATGGGAGGGGGGGCGCCAGAATATCTTCCAAGTTCCTGAAATCTATTGCTGTGCATTTTTCTGGCTCAGCACTTTCCAAGAACCGAGTGAATACCTCCCCCACCAATCATCCATGAGTAAGGGCCCTCAGATTGTCAGCTCTGAGGGGCCGGGCCCTCTGATCCCTCCTGTATTGAACTGTATTGTAACTGGACTGTCTGCCCTCGTGTTGTACAACGCTGCGCAGACTGTTGGCGCCATAAATCCTGAAAAATAATCTCAGTCCTTCAGGACTACACACATCTGTATAGCATGTTGGGTATGAGCTGCATTCATGGACTGGAGGACTAGACAAGAGAACAGATGACCAGAGGAACAGATGACCAGAGGACTAGAGGAACAGATGACCAGAGGACAGAGGACTAGAGAGGAACAGATGACCAGAGGACTAGAGGAACAGATGACCAGAGAGGACTCAGAGGGATGACTAGAGGAACAGACTAAGGACCTAGAGAGGACCAGATGGAACAGATGACCAGAGGACTAGAGGAACAGAAGACCAGAGGACTAGAGGAACAGATGACCAGAGGACTAGAGGAACAGAAGACCAGATGACTAGAGGAACAGATGACCAGAAGACTAGAGGAACAGATGACCAGAAGACTAGAGGAACAGATGACCCTAGAGGACTAGAGGAACAGAACAGAAGACTAAGAGAACAGATGACCAGAGGACTAGAGGAACAGATGACCAGAAGACTAGAGGAACAGAAGACCAGAGGACTAGAGGAACAGATGACCCAAAGGACTAGAGAACAGAACCTAAGGACCAGAAAGACCAGAGGACTAGAGGACCAGACAGATGACCAGACTAGAGGACCAGAGGAACAGATGACCAGAGGACTAGAGGAACAGAAGACCAGAGGACTAGAGGAACAGATGACCAGAAGACTAGAGGAACAGATGACCAGAGGACTAGAGGAACAGATGACCCAGAGGAACTAGAGGAACAGATGACTAGGATGACCAGAGGACTAGAGGAACAGATGACCAGAGGACTAGAGGAACAGATGACCAGAGGACTAGAGGAAACAGATGACCAGAGGATGACCAGAGGACTAGAGGAACAGATGACCAGAGAGGACTAGAGGAACAGAACAGAAGACCAGAGGACTAGAGGAACAGATGACAGACAGAGGAGGACTAGAGACTAGAGGAACAGGAATGACCAGAGGACTAGAGGAACAGATGACCAGAGGACTAGAGGAGATGACCAGAACTAGATGACCAGACTAGAACAGATGACCAAGGACTAGAGGAACAGATGACCAGAGGACCAGAGGAACAGATGACCAGAGGACTAGAGGAACAGAGGAACAGATGACCAGAGGACTAGAGGAACAGATGACCAGAGGACTAGAGGAACAGAAGACAGATGACTAGAGGAACAGATGACCAGAGGACTAGAGGAACAGATGACTAGAGGAACAGATGACCAGAGGACTAGAGGAACAGATGACCAGAAGGACTAGAGAGGAAACAGAGGACTAGAGGACTAGAGGAACAGATGACCAGAGGACTAGAGGACTAGAGGATAGAGGACTAGAGGAAGACCAGAGGACTAGAGGAACAGATGACCAAGAGGACTAGAGGAATTAGAGGAATGACTAGAGGACCAGAGGACAGATGACCAGAGGACTAGAGGACTAGAGGAACAGATAGAGGACTAGATGACTAGAGGAACAGATGACCAGAGACTACTAGAGGAACAGATGACCAGAGGACTAGAGGAACAGAAAGATAGAGGAACCAGAGGACTAGAGGAACAGATGACCAGAGGACTAGAGGAACAGATAGAGGACAGATGACCAGAGGACTAGAGGACTAGAGAGGACTAGAGGATGACAGAGGACTAGAGGAACAGGATAGACTAGAGAGGACAGATGAAAGGACTAGAGACTAGAACAGATGACTAGAGGACTAGATGATTAGAGGATCTAGAGGACTAGAGGAACAGATGACCAGAGGACTAGATGAGGACTAGAGGACTAGACTAGGACAGATGACTAAAGGACTAGAGAAACTAGATGACTAGGGGACTATAAGGACTAAAGGACAGAGGACTAGATGACTAGAGGAACAGAGGAACAGATGACCAGAGGACTAGAGGAACATATGACTAGAGAGGACTAGATGAACTAGAGGAACAGAGGACCAGAGAACTAGAGGAACAGATGACTAGAGGACTAGATGATTAGATAGAGGACTAAAGGACTAGAGGAAAAGAGGACCAGAGGACTAGAGGAACAGATGACTAGAGGACTAGATGATTAGAGGACTAGATGACTAGAGGACTAGATGATTAGAGGACTAGATGACTAGAGGAACAGATGACTAGAGGACTAGAGGACAAGAGGAATAGAGGACTAGAGGAACAGAGGACTAGAGGACTAGAGGACAAGAGGAATAGATGACTAGAGGAACAGATGACTAGAGGACAAGTTGACTAAAGGACTAGCGGCCTAGCGGACTAGATGACTAAAGGACTAGGGGACTAGAGGACTAGAGGACTAGAGGACTAGATGACTAAATGACTAGGGGACTAGAGGACTAGATGACTAGAGGACTAGATGACTAGATGATTAGAGGACTAGAGGACTAGATGACTAGAGGACTAGATGATTAGAGGACTAGATGACTAGATGACTAGAGGACTAGATGATTAGAGGACTAGATGACTAGAAGAAACAGATGACTAGAGGACAAAAAAAACAGATGACTAGAGGACTAGCGGAACAGATGACTAGAGGACAAGATGACTAAAGGACTAGAAGACTAGATGACTAAAGGACTAGAGGACTAGATGACTAAAGGACTAAAAGACTAGATGACTAAAGGACTAGAGGACTAGATGACTAGGGGACTAGATGACTAGAGGACTAGAGGAACAGAGGACCAGAGAACTAGGGGAACAGAGGACTAGAGGACTAGATGATTATTGGACTAGATGACTAGATGATTAGAGGACTAGATGACTAGAGGACTAGATGACTAGAGGACTAAATGTCAGGAATGGACTTGCCAATAATGGTGGGACTCACCTGCCTTGTGGGCTGCAGTACCAGGGCTGGCCAGCGGGTGCTCTCAGCAATCAGAGACTCACCCCTGCAGCCAGCCAAACACCTGAGGCTGATTACGGAGGTGTATTTAAGGGATGGCCAGACCTGCAGTCTGTGCCTTGGTGTGTGTTTTTCCTGGGCCCTGTACCTTGTAACCTGCATCCCTGTTCCTGTTCCTGTCTGACTGATTTGTTGCCGACCCTGCCTGATCCTGACCTCTGCTGACTTCTCCTGTTTGATCCCTGGCTTGTGACCCCGACCACTCTCTGCCTGACCCTCTGCACCTACCTGCCCGTTAGTTGCTGTACACAGGCTCGTGACCTGACTACTCTCTGCCTGCTCCTCCTGTTCCTACCTGCCCGATTGTTATTGACCCGGCCTGCCTGACGACGCTTGCATTGTATGTATTATCTGTGGGTGGTTTGGTTCGTTTGCACTGCGTTTATGTTTGTATTGTTTAGTATTAATAAATTATATTGTTTATAACTTATCTGAAGCCTGCGTTTCCCTGCGTCAGTCACACACCTCTGGTCATACCCGGGAGCCCTGACACTAAAGGACTAGCGGCCTAGATGACTAGAGGACTAAATGACTAGATGATTAGAGGACTAGATGACTAGAGAAACTTGGTTCTCCCCTCTAGGTGGGCCTGAAACATCTCAGCTCTCCCCTCCCAGGTGAAACTTAATAAGCTTGGTTCTCCTCTCATTGGCAGATGGAAAATGCTTGATTCTCCCCCCCCCCACACCCCCCAGGGTGGACCTAAAAAAATCTCAGCTCTCCCCTCCAGGGTGGATTTGAAAAACGTCTCTCCTGGGTGGACATGAAAATCTCAGCTCTCCCCCTCCTGCATGGACCTGTAAAGCTTGGCTTCTCCTTCCTGGGTGGACCTGAAATATCTTAACTCTCCCTTCCTGGAGGGACCTGAAGAATCTTGGCTCTCTGCTTCCAAAAAGACATGAAAAGCTTTGCTGTCCCCTCCTGGGCAGACCTGAAAAGCTTTCCCCTCCCTTCCCTTCCTCCCCCCTCCCCTTCACCTCTCTTCCCTTCCTCCCCCCCCCCCCCCTTCTTTCCCTTCACCTCTCTTCCCTTCCTCTCTCCCCCACCTCTCCCTTCCTCCCCCCTCCCCTTCCCCTCTCTTCCTTTCCTCTCCCCTCCCTTTCTCCCCCCTCCCCTTCCTTCCCTTCACCTCTCTTCCCTTCCTCTCCCCTCCCTTCCTCCCCCTCCCCTTCTTTCCAATCACCTTTCTTCCCTTCCTCTCCCCTCCCTTCCTCCCCCCTCCCCTTCACCTCACTTCCCTTCCTCTCCCCTCCCATTCACCTCTCTTCCCTTCCTCTCCCCTCCCTTTCTCCCCCCTCCCCTTCCTTCCCTTCACCTCTCTTCCCTTCCTCTCCCCTCCCTTCCTCCCCCCTCCCCTTCACCTCTCTTCCCTTCCTCTCCCCTCCCATTCACCTCTCTTCCCTTCCCCTCTCCCTCCCTTTCTCGCCCCTCCCCCTTCCTTCCCTTCACCTCTCTTCCCTTCCTCCCCCCTCCCCTTCACCTCTCTTCCCTTCCTCTCCCCTCCCTTTCTCCCCCCTCCCCTTCCTTCCCTTCCTCTCCCCTCCCTTCCTCTCTCCTCCCCTCCTCTCCTTTCCCCTCCCTTCCTCCCCCCTCCCCTTCTTTCCCTTCACCGCTCTTCCCTTCCTCCCCCATCCCCTTCCTTCCCTTCCTCTCCCCTCCCTTCCTCCCCCTCTCTTCCCTTCCTCTCTCCTCCCCCCTCCCCCTCCCCTCCCTTCCTCCACCCTCCCATTCACCTCTCTTCCATTCCTCTCCCCTCCCTTCCTCCCCCCTCCCATTCACCTCCCTTTCATTCCCTCCCCTTCCCCTCTCCTCCCTCCCCTCTCCGGGACAGCGGTGTCTTAACAGAGCGGCGCCCTCTCCGGGACAGCGGTGTCTTTGCAGTGCGGCGCCCTCTCCGGGACAGCGGTGTCTTTGCAGAGCGGCTCCCTCTCCGGGACAGCGGTGTCTTTGCAGAGCGGCGCCCTCTCCGGCACAACGGTGTCTTTGCAGAGCGGCGCCCTCTCCGGGACAGCGGTGTCTTTGCAGAGCGGCGCCCTCTCCGGGACAGCGGTGTGGGACAGCGGTGTCTTTGCAGTGCAGCGCCCTCTCCGGGACAGCGATGTCTTTGCAGAGCAGCGCCCTCTCCGGGACAGCGGTGTCTTTGCAGTGCAGCGCCCTCTCCGGGACAGTGGTGTCTTTGCAGAGCGGCGCCCTCTCCGGGACAGCGGTGTCTTTGCAGAGCGGCGCCCTCTCCGGGACAGCGGTGTCTTTGCAGAGCGGCGCCCTCTCCAGGACAGCGGTGTCTTTGCAGAGCAGCGCCCTCTCCGGGATAGCGGTGTCTTTGCAGAACAGCGCCCTCTCCAGGACAGCGGATTCGGCTGGAGATCATTGGATGGAATGTATCTGATGGAGATCGGGTTTTACATCGTGACCAGACATACACTCAAAGATCTGATTGGCGCGTTCTCCATGTGCAGTCATTGGAGGTCCTTCGTCTGGAATTCTCCTCTCTAGGTTCTGGCAGAGATCAGAGTCAGATGGGATTCCCCGCAGACGCCGGCTCAGTTCTGCAGACAGATGGCGGACTCCACCGACCCGACTAAAGGGGGGGGGCTGCGTTGGCGTCTTCTGAATACAATGATTGTGGGGCCCCCCCAGATATTCATCATTTCCGTGGGAAGAGGAATGGAAGAGAATCCATAGAGAAGGATCACTGATCGGTTATTGGAAGATGATCAATGGATCAATAATGTGGAGAGAGCCGGAACTCCTACTGACTCCCAGATGTCGGGAGATCGGCAGTGAATGTGTCTCAGACGGGAAATATACGGGTGAATGTGCGTTGTGAATGGGATTAACCCCTCCATGGCAGAATCCATCATTCATTGATCTATAAATACAACTTCGTATTCTATATATCAGTGCTGATCGATGTACACGAGACTGCGGACATACTACAGGAGACGGTCAGAGACTGCAGACATGATACAGGAGACGGTCAGAGACTGCGGACATAGTACAGGAGACGGTCAGAGACTGCAGACATACTACAGGAGATGGTCAGAGACTGCAGACATACTACAGGAGATGACCAGAGACTGCAGACATAGTACAGGAGATGACCAGAGACTGCAGACATACTACAGGAGATGGTCAGAGACTGCAGACATGATACAGGAGACGGTCAGAGACTGCAGACATAGTACAGGAGATGACCAGAGACTGCAGACATACTACAGGAGATGGTCAGAGACTGCAGACATGATACAGGAGACGGTCAGAGACTGCAGACATAGTACAGGAGATGACCAGAGACTGCAGACATAGTACAGGAGACGGTCAGAGACTGCAGACACAGTACAGGAGATGACCAGAGACTGCAGACATACTACAGGAGATGACCAGAGACTGCAGACATAGTACAGGAGATGACCAGAGACTGCAGACACAGTACAGGAGATGACCAGAGACTGCAGACATAGTACAGGGATGACCAGAGACTGCAGACACGGTACAGGGGATGACCAGAGACTGCGGACACAGTACAGGAGATGACCAGAGACTGCGGACACAGTACAGGAGATGACCAGAGACTGCGGACACAGTACAGGAGATGACCAGAGACTGCAGACATAGTACAGGAGATGACCAGAGACTGCGGACACAGTACAGGAGATGACCAGAGACTGCGGACATAGTACAGGAGATGACCAGAGACTGCAGACACGGTACAGGGGATGACCAGAGACTGCGGACATAGTACAGGAGATGACCAGAGACTGCGGACACAGTACAGGAGATGACCAGAGACTGCGGACATAGTACAGGAGATGACCAGAGACTGCAGACATAGTACAGGAGATGACCAGAGACTGCAGACACGGTACAGGAGATGACCAGAGACTGCAGACACGGTACAGGGGATGACCAGAGACTGCGGACACAGTACAGGAGATGACCAGAGACTGCAGACATAGTACAGGGATGACCAGAGACTGCAGACACGGTACAGGGGATGACCAGAGACTGCGGACACAGTACAGGAGATGACCAGAGACTGCGGACACAGTACAGGAGATGACCAGAGACTGCGGACACAGTACAGGAGATGACCAGAGACTGCAGACATAGTACAGGAGATGACCAGAGACTGCGGACACAGTACAGGAGATGACCAGAGACTGCGGACATAGTACAGGAGATGACCAGAGACTGCAGACACGGTACAGGGGATGACCAGAGACTGCGGACACAGTACAGGAGATGACCAGAGACTGCGGACACAGTACAGGGGATGACCAGAGACTGCGGACACAGTACAGGGGATGACCAGAGACTGCGGACATAGTACAGGAGATGACCAGAGACTGCAGACATAGTACAGGAGATGACCAGAGACTGCAGACACGGTACAGGAGATGACCAGAGACTGCAGACACGGTACAGGGGATGACCAGAGACTGCGGACACAGTACAGGGGATGACCAGAGACTGCAGACACGGTACAGGAGATGACCAGAGACTGCGGACACAGTACAGGAGATGACCAGAGACTGCGGACACAGTACAGGGGATGACCAGAGACTGCGGACACAGTACAGGAGATGACCAGAGACTGCGGACATAGTACAGGAGATGACCAGAGACTGCAGACATAGTACAGGAGATGACCAGAGACTGCGGACATAGTACAGGGGATGACCAGAGACTGCAGACGCAGTACAGGAGATGACCAGAGACTGCGGACACAGTACAGGAGACGGTCAGGAGACACACACTACAAGGACCCCCCCATCACAGAGGAGATTTTCCAGGAATTATTTTGGATGCTGCGATGAGTTGGGGGTGAAGTGCTCGTTTCCCCTCTTTGTGACGCACAGCGAATGTTCTGATGAATCTACGGATATCGGCTGCATGGAGTGTGCGCAGCTTTACCAGACGGGGGTCATTCTCTACTCTTCCAGTCTTCTGATTGGAGCCGGCCCCCATCAATCATCCAATCATCAACTCTCAAAGTTCTGCGAAGGATTGAGGAAAGTTGTGGAGATGAGCTCCGGGAGATGAGATTCGTCCTTCCACGTTCCATCGATCAATAAGTCACACCAAAGCAGACTCTGCCCAGCTGGATGGGATTTCCCAGCATTCTCCGCGGCTCTTAATAATGGCAGGAGCCCCAGTGGCCCCGGGCGGGTGGTGAAGTAGAAGGCCCCCGGGGCCCGATGTGGACTTTATTAGTCGGGTTCAGTGAAAATTCGACAAAGCTCCATAAATCCAGATTGAGATCTAAGAATGGATCACGTCTCGCGACGTCCCTGGGGGGCCCCGGGCCCCGCCACCAATAAACCGCCAGCCTAACACGGCAGATTGGCCCTTTGTTCTGGCCGCCCCGACCAATCACGCGGGAAGGCGACGCTCAGAACCGGAATTCCCAGCCCCCCCCCAGTAATTGTCCTTTAAGCGCGCAGCCCATTAGAAGAGCGACTTTAAATGACTCCCGCGGACGATTCGCTGACAGACCGCGCCAAAGACGACTTCAAAGGCAACGCAGAAAGGAGATTCTTGTTTTGTTTGTTTTTCCCGGAGCGGATTGTGTGGCGAATGGTAATTTATTTCCCTTTTACCAGAAGATTGACACATCCGTAATGAAATTAAATACAAACAGCGGGACCCCCCGGGACGTGCGGCGGGCGCGGATAAAGAGCGCGGGGGGGGGGGGCGCGTGAGCGACAAGGAGAGGAAAGGAGAAAGAAGGCGAGGAAAGGCGAGGAAAGGAGAGAAAAAGGAGAGAAATGGCGAGGAAAGGAGAGGAAAGGAGAGAGAAGGCGAGGGAAGGAGAGAGAAGGCGAGGAAAGGAGAGAGAAGGCGAGGGAAGGAGAGAGAAGGCGAGGGAAGGAGAGGAAAGGAGAGAGAAGGCGAGGAAAGGAGAGAGAAGGCGAGGAAAGGAGAGGAAAGGAGAGAGAAGGCGAGGAAAGGAGAGAGAAGGCGAGGAAAGGAGAGGAAAGGAGAGAGAAGGCGAGGAAAGGAGAGAGAAGGCGAGAAAGGAGAGGAAAGGAGAGAGAAGGCGAGGAAGGGAGGAGAGAGAAGGCGAGGAAAGGAGAGGAAAGGAGAGAGAAGGCGAGGAAAGGAGAGAGAAGGCGAGGAAAGGCGAGGAAAGGAGAGAGAAGGCGAGGAAAGGAGAGAGAAGGCGAAGAAAGGCGAGAGAAGGCGAGGAAAGGAGAGAGAAGGTGGGGAAAGGAGGGGGGAAAGGGCGAGGAAAGGAGGGGAAAGGGCGAGGAAAGGAGAGGAAAGGCGAGGAAAGGAGAGAGAAGGCGAGGAAAGGAGAGGAAAGGCGAGGAAAGGAGAGAGAAGGCGAGGAAAGGAGAGAGAAAGCGAGAGAAGGCGAAGAAAGGCGAGAGAAGGCGAGGAAAGGAGAGAGAAGGTGAGGAAAGGAGGGGGGGGGCGAGGAAAGGAGGGGAAAGGGCGAGGAAAGGAGAGGAAGGAGGAGAGAGAAGGCGAGGAAAGGAGAGGAAAGGCGAGGAAAGGAGAGAGAAGGGGCGAGGGAAAGGGGAGAGAGAAAGCGAGAGAAGGCGAAGAAAGGCGAGAGAAGGCGAGGAAAGGAGAGGGGGGGGGCGAGGAAAGGAGAGGAGGGCGAGAAAAGGCGAGGAAAGGAGAGGAAAGGAGAGGAAAGGAGAGGAAAGGAGGGGAAAGGAGAGGGAAAGGTGAGGAAAGGAGGAAAGGGGGGGGAGGGGGGAGGAGGGGGGAGAAGGAGAGGAAGGGTGGGAAAGGCGAGGGAGGGAGGGAGGGGAGGGGGAGGGGAGGGGGAAGTGAGGGAGGGCGAAAAAAGGAGAGGGAGGGGGAGGGGGTGAGGGAGGGCGAGGGAAGGCGAGGGAAGGGAGGGGAGGGCGAGGGAGGGCGAGGGAAGGCGAGGGAGGGCGGGGAGGGCGATGGAGGGGCGAGAGGAAAGTGAGGGAGGGCGAGGGAGGGGCGAGGGAAGGCGAGGGAAAGGGAGGGGGAGGGCGAGGGAGGGGGCGAGGGAAGGGAGGGAAGGAGAGGGAGGGCGATGGAGGGCGAGGGAAGGCGAGGGAGGGTGAGGAAAGGAGAGGGAAGGCGATGGATGGGGCGAGGAAGGGCGAGGGGAGGGCGAGGGAGGGCGATGGAGGGCGAGGAAAGGAGAGGGAGGGAAGGCGAGGGAGGGCGAGGGAGGGCGAGGGAAGGCGAGGGAGGGCGAGGAAAGGAGAGGAAAAGGTGAGGGAGGGCGATGGAGGGCGAGGAAAGGAGAGGAAAAGGTGAGGGGAGGGCGATGGAGGGCGAGGAAAGGCGAGCTGTAATTGTTTCCTTCTCTCCCTCTCTGTCTTCTAGTAAACGATGGCTCCGACGTCTTCGATGATTCATCCCGATTATTTATAGAGCGACAATGAAAGGTACCAGGGACATCTCATGGGGCCCCCTACTGACCCCGGGCCCTCAGGCAGTGCCCAAGTTTCCAAATGGTCAGTCCGCCCCTGCCCCCCCCCCAACCAGCAATACATCCCCCAATTCCTGCAGATATCAACACAGAACACAGGATTCATAACGCCACAGAAATACCGAACATTTCCCGACACATCACACCGGACTGTACATTGTAACGTTGTAGAAGGAGGAGGAGGCATTTCCTCAGTCTCCCCTCCCCCAGTGATCAGACTGTACATGGTAACGTTGTAGAAGGAGGAGGAGTCATTTCCTCAGTCTCCCCTCCCCCAGTGATCAGACTGTACAGTGTAACTTTGTAGAGATTGCAGTCAGGGGCTGCTGTGCGTCAGACATTTGTGAACACCGCCAAGAACAGCACAGGCACCAGGACTTACATGATCTCTGAGCCGCCATCTCAGTCCAGGAAGTAGAAGGTGACCCTGGATGATGTCTAAACAAAGATGGCGCCGTCCTTCTGGAGAGAAAAGCAGATGACAGCATTGTCAGGGGGGGGGGGGGTGTCCTGTGATCTGTGTGAGAGGTAACAAACACCCGGAAGGGGGGTACTGACACCCCATCCAATCAGAGAGCAGGTTTTCCTTCAGGCTGGCAGCTCACTGGGCCTCAGGCTCTGTTCTACTTGCTGACTTACAGGAGTGACAGCAGCATCACTCCCCCTCCGACCCCGCCCCTGCTCCGCCCCCATTCTCAGGCCCAATGACTATACGAATATATAGCTCTGACATATACCGTAGCGCTGGGACCCCCAGGACTCCAACGCTGTGAGGAAAGACCCCCATAGAGTGACAGATTCCCAATGTAGGCTCCGTCGGTGTGGAGGGGGATGGGCGGGGTCATTGTATGACATCACTTTAATAGGTCACAATGGCAGTTGGTGTGGTGGGAATGGGCGGGGTCCTTCTATGATGTCACTTTAATGGGTCACAATGGCAGTTGGTGTGAGTGAGGAGGGGGATGGGTGGGGTCATTGTATGACGTCACTTTAATGGGTCATAATGGCAGTCGGTGTGGTGGGAATGGGTGGGGTCATTGTACTACGCCCCTTTTTTAGGTCACAATGGCAGTTGGTGTGGAGGGGGGATGGGCCGGGTCCTTGTACGACGCCTCCTTTTTTAGGGCACAATGGCAGTTGGTGTGGAGGGGATGGGCGGAGCCATCGTATGACGTCACCTTTCTAGGTCACAATGGCAGTTGGTGTGGAGGGGGATGGGCCGGGTCCTTGTACGACGCCCC